GCCACGTTATGCTCCATTATTGTAAAACAAAGATAAATATCACAGTTATCAAACTAGTTGAAAATGCTTATGATTGCTAATTAAAAACATTGATAGACTGAAATATTGAAAATTGACGGAATAATCTTAACTGTAAAATACTGTATGTTCAGAGTCCTCTTACGGACATATGTACAAAACAAACGCATGCAAACAATCAGCTGATCCTCTGGATTTTTGGACGACGCCTCTCAGTGGTTGCATTTAGCAAAATCATTTTGGCGGGAAAGCAAAACTGTTCAATCTATACTCTGTAATATGTGGGGAACACTGCGTGCCGTTGTCTTTTTACTTCTTCAACTTGCAACAAATGTTGCAAATAAAAAATATGTTTTACATTGAAATGGAAATTAAATTATATTTTACCTATTCCTGATCTAATTATAAATTATTCAACCAATGATAATATTAAAATTAAAAAATAAAATTATTACTGCCATCATGCGTTAAACAAGTTCAGTATTTTATGGTTTCTATTAATTTATTAATTATTACTCATCTGGCTGTTTCGATTGGGGCTATTCAGTATCTTGACGATGATAATTCTGGCAACACTGATTCCGACTCTTCGTTGTTCATTCCCACATCCAGCAAATGATCAATAAATGGAGAACGCGAGAAATTCTTAACGTAATGGTGGATGCTCCCCATGCATCTTAAGTCAAGCCACTGGAAGATTGTCTTCATTAAATGGCCTGCATTATATGAGCAGTTTTAGATTATAAGTGTTCGATGTTTAAACACTTTATAACAACACTACTGTCAGTGGATGATGAAACTAAACACCAATACAACAAAGCTGTGATCGTTCGATCTAAGGAACGGTTCCACAACTGGACGTTTTTTTGTGGCCTCAAAATAGATTCCTTTTGCTCATCCACCTGTGCTTTGACAATCCTCCATGATAAACGTTAACCTAAATTTTGTTATTATTTTATTTACCTCTAATATAGTTGATTTAGCAATTCCTACAAGGAATTAGTACAGCAAAAGTAGATCATGTGCAAGTAGTGCACCTGGTACAGCAATACCTAATTTGTCTCATCTTGTGAGTAGACATTAATTTATCCTAAGTCGTCTGGCAATCCTATTTGCGGCTCCAATCTTAGGATATTCAGAGATAAGCTATTAACTAATCTCCAAAGACCGACAATTAAATGCATTTAATGTATGACTCATGCCCAGTAAAACTACAATGCACAAAAGAATAGATGTATTTTGAACTTTCTGGTACAGTTGAGGGGCTCCTCACAGTAGAACTGCTGATTTGGAAATAATACTTTTGTTGTCAGTTTATGCTGCTCCTTCACTGAACTTCCAAACGTTGGCAGCAGGATGTCTGCCAGTATTTTACAGAATGTTACAAGGAGCTATTCTTGGAATGTTACTAGTCTCTGTGGTGAAGAAGGACTGGAGGTTTGGAATGCTGGAAGGAACGACATTGGACTTTGCTTTCAGCAGCTTTTTTTGGATATACCAGTTTTAGGTATTGTTTTTTCACCATAAAACCATTGAGGGGGGAATAAGAGTAAGAGTTAGCTTCTAAAATTACGTGTAATTTATCGTTGAAACCGCCGTTCTATATAAAACTGTAGGGTCATTCTTATGGTCTATTAGATCGTCTTAAGTCCTATTTGAATAATACAAAAAAGAACTTACATGAAAGGATATTCTGTACATTTTTATGGAGTTATTCGATGGTTGCCACAAAACTATGTTACCCCTCAAAATTAATATTCAATTTTTCACTTTCGTAACTATGATTTTTTACACCGATTTCGTGTAATTTTACTAATCTTATTCGTTCTGACGAAACTGCCGAAGAACTAGAATTCTTTATTATCCAACAGATAAGTTTGACTTACCTTACCCTACTTAAGTACTTTGCAACTGCATAATTATAGAGGGTGTCCCGTAAGCACATGATCAAAAGGGTTCTGCGATATTCTTTGAGATCGTTTTTGAGTGGAAAGTAAAGCAAAAAAAGTTCAGTCAAAACTAAAGAACCACATTTTTTTACAAATTCCCTAATCTTCAGAGGAGTGGAGGTGACGAGATTTCCAAATAATCTGTTATAAACTTTCGTTAATTCTGTTAATTTTTTGATAGAAAATTATTTGATTTTTGTTCCAAATTCAAAGTTGGAAAGCAGTTTGAAAATTTTTTAGAAATCGACGAAGGATTCGAAATTTATTTCATAATTTTTCGCGAAAAATACCTTAAGATTGTCAGCATTTTTAAGTAAAACTAGAAAATTGAGCATTTAGAAAAAAAATTTTAAGACATTTAAAAAATATGATTAATTAATGTCCTTAAAAATAAATCTAAAACCAGGAAAAAAAAGTCATCAACATTTTCCCAGCAACGGAACTGAGTTATTGCGCCGGTGCGTTGGGTTGGCGCACCAAGCCACTTGCGCAGCACTGCGCCTACTCCTAAAAGTTCGCAGAGTTACCCAGGCCTAGTAACAAGTTACTGGGATTAATATAGTTATTTTCGTACTTATAGAAAATGGCAATTCAGATGAAAAATGTGTAAAAAATTGTGAAAATTATGAAAACTTAAACAGTGTAAATCATATTCATACATAGTAATGTATGTGTGTTTTTATTTTTTAATCGTTAAACTGTTTAGTGAACAAAAAACCATGCACTAAAGTGGTGTTGAAATAAATTTAGGTGTTTTTATATATTTTATAAAAACTCCGATTTTATTTTTGCCGTGTTTATTAAAAATGATCCTGGAGTTTTATTGTTAGTGTTTGAAGCAATATTCTAGTGGCATCTGTATAAATATGTAGGAACGCACGAAATTATAGACCGTGGAACCTTGAAATGTCTCTTTCTATCTACAAATGTATATTGGATTTATAAATTACATTTGTTTGCAAAGCCCACAAATAAAAATTTAATAGCAAAAGATAAGCGAGCTGTTTGGTCATCAGACACCATTTATAACCACTCTTTCGGGGAAAACACATTCTTAGGGAAATCATTTCTGGGACATTTACAACTTCCTACCAACGCAAACAAACTCATAATATGATTCTCTTAACCGTCTATGCGCTTCCATAAAAATAAATTTGTTTTTCAATTGAAATGCTCCAAATTTGTACAATTACGATCATCGCACCATAAAACATGATTAAAAATTTGTTATAACAGTGCAGGACGATGAAAAAAATGCAGGTTCATATTAACAAAATAATAAATGAGCTGATAAAGGAACGTAAAAACATCGTCGTATCTGAAAGTTCAAAAAATATTTTAATCACAAAGAACACAGTAACTGTATTATCAATATTTTGCGTACATTTGTTAGCGTTCATCATTGCCTTCATTTAACCCCCTCAATTTTTTTATTGTTACCGTTATAAAAACCCTAATGTATCAGACTTTTTAGGAACAGTGATGGCTTTATTTTTTTTTAATCTACATTTTTGCACATTTAATTTTTTTACTTGTTCTGACACTTTTTAATGCTATATTTTTTTGAATGATTGGAAGTTTGCACACATACCGAAGGAGACCAGTCCAGCTCTGTATATACTTAGATAGTTAAAACACACTTCTCTATTTTATAACTAAAAATTATAATATAGCGCAACGTGCCTTTGTTCCTCGAAGAGCGAACTCTGTACAGCTGGTTAAATTAATATTCCAGTTGATTTTAAGTTAATGTGCCATTTCATTATAAAATGTTTAAACCTTTACTTACTATTTCAGCTCTTTTAGCGCTCTGTTCAAGCTATTATATAGGAAGGGGGGATCGTTTGGTGGCTAGGGGAAGGCCCCAACTTCTAGCCATATATTTGCGTTGTTTGTTGACTCTAATATTAGCATGTTTGCCCTTGTTGCAAATATATGTGTTCAGGTGAGTGCTTAAATTCACATTTGAGATGTGCAGACTTATCGCTGCAATGAATTGAATCTTATAAATTTGGGTATTTTAGATATAAAACATTGGAAAATATACCTCAGATTGCTTATTTTCTGAGCGCCGTCCAGGGATTTGCATGGTTGGTCCATTTCTTCTACAATGTGAGCTTGAGGACCAAATTGGGCAAAAGTCCTCGAGGGCCCATGATAATATGTGTCTTATGGTAGCTATTGCCGGAAAAGTTTAAAAATTTTACCATGAAACTGCCCTTTTAGGTCCCTAATACTCGTTTTAACGGTCATTTCTATGAGGAGCCATTTACTGGTTTTAAAAAACGATCCACATCCCGTATACAGCAAGTTCTTAGCGTACGGAATGAGCGTGTGTTATTTGATAATCCAACTTTTTTACGCTCTATCTTTAATACCAGGCGAGGGACATACAACTGAGCTAAATTTCCTTAATACTTACACGGAGGTTCGCTCCTTTGAAACCTTATTATCGAGCTTCAACTAAACGCGGAGTGTATTTCAGATAGGAGAAAATCAACCGCTTTTACATGGCAGTGCGTATGGTCGATTTCATGAAGATGGAGATCCCCAATATTTGGGAATTGCAATGGAGAATGTAACATGGTTGTCGAAATTGTTATTTGCATGGGTGGAACCGTTGATGCAGAAGGGCGTACAAGGTTTATTGAGACCGCAAGTAGACAATTTCCGAAACAGTAATAAAAACTTTTAGGGCGCTTAAAAACGGCCGACGATTTGTATGATTTGCCTCTATCTTTAAACTGTACCGCAATTATTGGCAAATTAGACAGGGCGTTAGGGAAAGATATCCCAACTAGAACAAACATTCAACGAACTGATGATAGTAAGTTAGTGAAATGCGCCATTTGTGAAATTTGATRAATTYCCCGAAACTTAGTTATTAATGSTKTTCTTTTTGTTTAAAWATCTGTTGCTTAAAATGAAGTAATGGGATTTTCAACGAGTTTGGGAATCGTGTCTCCATCTGCTAATACGCTTGTATCAACCGCATATTGCCTTAGTTGAGAATTGGGAGTTTTAYTTTCCATGTTGTCATTTATCAAAAGTCTTAGGGATTTTTGMGAAAAACCGCGTCTGCATACATATTTATCTGTCTATTGTTTTAGTATGAACGCGATCACTCAAGAGAGCGATTTCTGATGCCACCGAATTCCATATTTTTCGATTTCGATTCAGACTTTCAAATGCGTTTGAAATTGTTTTTCCATTACAATTCTTTTCGGCTAATTTTGTTAAAATAATGCTCAAAAATAGATTTTTGTTTCATTAATTGAGAACAATTATTGCCAATCAACTTATGAAAACTTTCGATTTTTGCTAACAAAGGAGTGCAACTTATATTATTATCAATCTGAAAAAAATAAACAAGATTCTAGACCAGTTTATGATCTCGTACAGACTCCTATAAAGAGAGTTTTATGCAAAAATAAATGCTCAAATTGCAACTATCACACCCTGCATATTTTTTACTTTAATATATTGATCGCCAGTATAAACATTTTTGAGCCCATCAAGTGTTGGCTTGGCGCTTGTGTAAAAATAACGTTAATTTGTAGGCATACAAGAGTTGCAACTTGTAGTAGAAGAAGTCGAGGTGCAGAGGCGCGATTTTAAATTGTTTAAGGCACTACATAAGGTGTTTTGGAAGGAGTTTTACAGTGTAGGAATTCTGAGACTTATTGCTGATTTGGCCGGGTTTGCTGGCCCAATGCTTTTAAACAGGTACATTTGCTGAAAAGTGTTTTGCACTCTTCCACAGTAGTTAATTGCTGTCTCTTGCAGGTTGATTAACTTTATTGAAGATAAAAAAGAGAATATTTCATGGGGCTATTTATACGCTGCTGGACTGTTGAGCACTGCTTTAATTGGTAACTTCTAACAATCATTTAACGTCCCAATCAGGAATTTTTGCTGTTTTTTAAAGGGGCTTTATGTGACTGCCATTTCAATTTCCTGATCGCCAAAGTGGGCTACCGCATGAGATCCTCAATAGTGACTCTCATTTACAAGAAAACACTGAGTGTGAACGCCGCTACATTAAATAGCCGATTTTCAATTGGCGAGATAGTGAACTTCATGTCCACTGATACTGATCGAATAGTGAATTCCTGTCCCAGTTTCCACTCACTTTGGAGCATCCCGTTCCAGGTAAGTAGTTTAAATTATATCTTAAAAACTGGCCGTCCCAAATCACGCAACATCAAAGTAATCGCTCAACAGCCGAACGAAATATCCACTCACAATTCACGTCGAGATCATCCACTTTCCAGCCAATAAACCACGGAAAAACAAACCAAATTTATATAATGGGCGCCATTTGTATGCCTTATCACGCTATCTGGGCCATCCATATAGTTTTCCCGCATTTCCACGCAGTTTTGCTCGAAAGTTTTTCCCATTTTTCCAACATCATAACATATAAATCGTTACGAAAAACTTCTGTTCATGCTTCTTTAATACCGGAAGTTTGTACGACTGGCTTAATTTATCGCGATTTTGCCGACTAAAGTTTTAGGCCGTTTTCCGAATATTTCATCTTTGTTTTTTTTTCGTTTCGATCTCGGTGACCTAGTTCGTGCTGTTAATCTCATAAGAGCAGGGATTTGTTTGAATGGGACGTCTTAAGAGTAAAGTAAATTCGCTTAAGTATTGAGGAGCGGCAGCAAAATGCGATTTTTTATTGGCAAATTATTCATGGTTTTGGTTAATGGGAGATTTTTTTAGCTTGTAGTCACTTTGTATCTGCTCTACAGCCAAGTGGGCCTGGCTTTCCTAGCTGGTGTAATTTTCAGTGTGATCTTAATCCCCATAAACAAAATGATCGCAAGCAAGATCGGAGATTTGAGCACGAAATTAATGCAGGAAAAAGATGGAAGGGTGAAACTAATCACCGAAGTTCTGCGGGGCATTCGAGCTGTTAAGCTTTATGTGTGGGAGGCACACTTTGTGCGGCAGATATCGCGTACGTATTTTTCCTCCACAAAACTAATCTCTACTCTCGCCGTTTAGATTAGTTTTCAGTGAATTATCGAGCGAAGCTCTAATTGCGTGTGTAAAACAATGGAATTTGTACTTTATGTCTTGTTAGTGCAAATTTAATCCGGATTAAGGTATTAAAATGTGCTGCTAACGCAAACTGGGATTAGAGGTGTGCTCCCAAGCGAAGCCCGCAATTTCGCAATCTATTGAAATATTGATTATCTTCTACCGGTTCAAGCACCTTTTTATTAGCATCCAATCGGAGCGTTCTAAATATTTAAACGCATCTCTAGGTATCAGGTCCCAAGAACTCAAGTACCTGAAGGGCAGGAAATATCTGGACGCGTTTTGCGTCTACTTTTGGGCAACAACGCCCGTAGTTATCTGCATCCTAATATTTGTTACTTATGTGCTGATGGGCAACAAATTAACTGCAGCAACAGTATTCACATCAGTAGCTTTACTCAATATGCTCATTTCCCCACTCAACGCTTTTCCGTGGGTGCTCAACGGTATGATGGAGGCATGGGTGTCGATTAAGAGGATTCAAGCCTTGCTCCAGGTGGGCCTTGGCCAAATAAACCCTGCGGTTTAATCTAAAAAAATCCTGTAAAAGGTTCCAGATTTGGATCTTCACGCTTACTATTCGCCTCTTCCGGATAGTTCGTACGACGTCGTCTTGAGGGAGGCCGGGTTCAATTATGGCAAAGACCTTACGGCAGAGGAAAGAGTGAAGCTTCACGGAAGACCCCCGCAGAAATCTTTAAAAGGAAAAGGCAATGGGAAAAATAAAAGTGTTAGCAAGCAAGTGGCCTTTGCTAGTCCTGGTACCAGCAGCAGCAGCCATGAAGCTGATCGGTTTTATTTAAAGGGGCTCAATTTGAAAATTAGAAAGGTAAGTTGGGTAATGGAGATTTCTCTCGCCTTTGTCTGCCTATGAAAATTATGAACTAATATGGAATTCGAGCTGTTTTATTTCCCTGATCATTAGGTGTTTGGCTCACGCAGGATGTTTTTACAGGGTGTTTATTTAGGTTTGCCGTTCTCAACTGCAACATTGTTTGCGTAAGGTTGAAAAGTCAGGGTGATTATGAAACTGATTGAATATTTTTATGTTGAGCAACTACACTGTATAGAAAATTCAAATTTGTTAGTAGACTATTTATTGGTCAAAGTTTATATTCGTCTGTGCGCAACACCGGGTAGTGCAGACAGAAAAAAAGTATATAGAATTATAGCGTCATGGCTTCTGAGTAATGTTGATCTTTAATCGTGTGTTTATCTTTAGCCATTCGAGAGATAGATATTCATTTTTTATGAGCGGTCAAGGAGATTGACAACATAAACAGAGCTATCAACTTGTAATGAAATGTTGTTCGCACAGCCCCAGCACCAAAGGGGTGGTGGGACAGGTTCGTATCTATATCGTATTTTGAGTGGCGATTTTTTGAAACTCTTCCGTAAGTCTGAAAACGAAGATAGTTTTCCATCGAATCCCAGAAACTCAGAAAAATCCCGATTCGAATGCGGGTTGTTTGTGAAGTCGGTTTAATTTTTATCTTTATAAGGAAAGAAAGGGCAGATGCCCATCTGACTTCAATTTTGAGTGGCAAATTTTTCAAAATTTCCCTTCAGTGAGTCTGAAAGCGGAGACAAAGTTTTCCATCGAATTCCAGAAATTCATGAAAATCCCCATTCGAATGCAAGTTTTGTTTGTGAAATCGGGTTAATTTTTCTCTTTACAAGGAAACTAAGAGCAGGTCTGTATCTGGCTTATATTTTAGGTGGCTATTTTTTTTCTTTTTCTTGTTAGGAAGTCTCAAAGCGGAGACAAAGTTTTCCATCGAATCTCAGAAATTCAGGAAAATCCCTATTCGAATGCGAGTTTTTGTGAAGTCGGGTTATTTTTTCTCTTTATAAGGAAATAACGAACAGGTGCGTATGTCAGTTAAATTTTAAGTGACTATTTTCAAAATTTTCTTGTTAGGAAGTCTAGAAGCGAAGACAAGGTTTTCGAACGAATCCCAAAAATTCAGGAAAATCGCGTTTCGAATGCAAGTTTTTTGTGGAATAGGGTGATTTTTTCTCTTTATAAGGAAAGAAAGGGCACTTCCGTATCTTGCTTCAATTTTGAGTGGACATTTTTTGAAAATTTATTCCGTGAATCTTAAAACGAAAACAGTTTTCCATCGAATCCCAGAAATTCAGGAAAATGGCGTTTCGATTGCAAGGTTTTTGGTGGAATAGGGTGAATTTTTCTCGATAGAAGCGAAGCAACAACAGGTCCGAATCTGGCTTCAATTTAGAGTGGCAATTTTTTGAAAATTTCCTTTCAGTAAGTCTGAAAGCGAAGACAAAGTTTTCCATCGAATCCCAAAAATTCACGAAAATCCCGATTCGAATGCAAGTTTTTTTCTGAAATCGAGTAAATTTATCTCTTCATTAGGAAAGCAAGAGGAGGTCCGTAAATCGTTTAAATTTTGTCTGGCTATTTTTTTTTATTTTCTTGTTAGGAAGTCTCGAAGCGGAGCAAAGTTTTCCATCGAGTTCCAGAAATTCAAGAAAATCCCTATTCCAATGCGAGTTTTTTTGTGAAATCGGGTTATTTTTTCTCTTTATAAGGAAAGAAAGGCCAGGTCTGCATCTGGCTTCGATTTTGAGTGGGGAATTTTTGAAAGTTTATCTTCAGCGAATATGAACGCGGAGACAAAGTTTTCCATCGAATCCCAGATATGCAGGAAACTCCGGATTGGAATGCTAGTTTTTTGTGGAATCGGGTAGACTTTTCTCTTTATCAGGAAAGCAAGAACAGGTCCGTATCTCCCTTAAATTTTGAGTGGCTATTTTTTTAAATTTTATTGTTAGGAACACCCACTCGAATGCAAGTTTTTTTTGTGAAATAGCGCGAGGTTTTCTCGCCAGGCGAAAACAACGTTGTTTTTAATTTTCAATCAAACAACAAAAATTCGGGAAAGCCCTGATTGGAATGCAAATGTTTTTGTAAAATAGAGCAAAGTTTTTTCTTCATAACGAATGCAAAGGCAAGTTCGTATCAGGGTCCAGTCATTAGCGCTGATTTTTTGAAAAATTTCCGACATGAGGTCTCACCTCAATTATCTAGATCTTTAAATTTTAGACTTAATTTCAATCAAATGCCAAACAGCCACCAGCCCCAGCACAAATAAAAATAAATAGTATATACTTTCCTGACTGTGTTTCAATTCCAAATCA